CAAATATGCAAGAAAAATAAAAACCATTGCATCTCAAATTATAGACTAAGTTTTATGTATGTTACAACAATTATAAATTTAATTTAGTATAAGAGATTAAAAAAAAAACATAAGTTCACAAAAATAACATTTATTTACATCATCAACATTGCTGAAAAAATAGGTAGGATTATTTAATGTTTATATATATATGCATATATATAAGTGTGAATTAATAATGAAATCTATACAAATGAAAAGACAAAATAATTAAAATGATTACGATATATTTTTATAATTTTATTCCTAAAGAAAATTCGAAAAGTATATTACTTTACATCTAATAATTGGCATAAAAATCATTTTTATTATACAAATTAAATTAGTTACAAATAAGCATGAGTAATTTAAAATTCAAATGTTAAAAAAATGTACAACCATAAAAAACTTTATGGAGACCACATATAACTTTTTTATGGAGTCATCTGTAACTTGATGCACTGAGACTGACGTTTGTCTAAAGTATATTTTTTGTATGACATGTGTTGATACATTATTTGAAAATAATTGTGTATTAGTACAACTCCGTGTATTACACGGGTGCTTGTTAAAAAATTATTTTTAAATTTTAAAATTAATGAGAAAACTATATTAAATTTAATTTACTTTTTTACAAAAAAAAATATATTACTATATATTTTAGAATGATATGTGTTATATTATATTAGTTTTTATAACTTATATCATACAACTACTTGAAATATAAATATATTAGTTGATAAATAATTTTATTTTTCTAATTAATATTAAAAATAATTTTAATATTGTTATAAAGATAAATATAAATTATTTTTTTTATACATACAATATGGATGTTAAATCGAAGCTCATCAAAAGAAGATTAATTTGATATATTACATATGTAAAACTGATTAAAAAAAATTATTAACTTTTAAAATATATATACAATTCAATAGTTATAATAAGAAATGATAGTAAAATGTAATTAATACTTATAACATGATCATAAATAATCAATATGTAATTCAAACCTAATTATTTTTTGTTTGGAATTAAATTAAAATTTACCTAAACCTAATAACGAAACATGTAATTTTGCCACATAGGATTCCGAATCACCAAAAGCAGTTACGTAAACTCAGCGCGTTCTGGTTAATATATAAGGAAATGTTTCTATTAATCGCGTTCATTTAGTATCATTAAGTGCATCATTAACATATTTGGCCTAGGACCTAATAGTTTTGAGGACTTGCTCTCAAGTAAGTGTATGGGAACTTACCTAAAAGTAGTATCCCATTACGTCCAACAGTTACCAAGTAAAATTCAACCTACTTAATAATTATCTTTATAAAAGGTAAATAAAAAATATATAAGAATCTAGTTATATATGCAAACATTTTCGTCAGTTTCTATATGTTTGCAGTCAATATATTATATTAGTACATATGCAATATTTTATGTTGAAGTTAGTTAATAGAGTAATTTTCTCATAATTATATTATTAATTCATGGGCTCAGACATAAATATATACTTTCGGAAAGATATAAAAGAATGGGTAACACATCTTAAGCACAAATTTATATTTTAAATACATCATATTATAGGACTTTGTAATAATATAACGAAAATAATTTGCAAGTAGGAAAGACTTTGATTTCCTAAGTAAAGTAAAGGATATGTAGGCGACTTAATTGACAAGTTACAAGCTAAAATATCATTTTGACCTAAAAATTTTTTAAACTTAATTGATATTTTAACTTATAATATGTCAACTAAACCCAAGTTCAATTTTTTACTCTCCCTTAAAAAACCGGCCCTGGCCAAAACCGAAACTGGTTGAACTAGCCCGTAACCAGCCGAACCGGGTTGAACTGATCCCGGACCGCCGGTTCGATGAACCGGCCCAGAACCGCCCAGTCGGTTAACCAGCACTTATCTACACTCAGGCCAGTTTCGGGTCAATGTTTTTTAGCCCATCGACCTACCGGGCCAAGCCCAGCCCGCCATATGTCCATGTCTAGTTGGGGCGATAAAGTTTAATAAATCACCGTTTCAAAAACAAATGCATGCCTCTGTGGCAGGTCAGTTTTGCAAACAAATGACTTGGATCCTTCTTCTATGTAGAAGACAATGGAGAGAGTTCCCAATGCTAAAGAAATAAATCATAATACTTGCTGCCAATCGAACATCTTACGAATAGCTAAGACAAAAAAAAAAAA